GCTAAGGCGTCGTCCTCTCACCAGTTCAAGGCTTTGGTGAGGGTAAGCCATTTGTATGGCCGTATGTTAGATAAATCTTCGTGGTTAATACATTTTTGCCATCTTTAAATTAACGGCTAATTATTTATTTAGTTCCCCATCCATTTTCAAGAAACATAAATAAGGTAAGAAGATACGTACTGCCGAAATTAATATCCTAGCGAATATTTTTATACTTTTACTCACGCATGGTATTGATCTTTCCTGGAGGAAGAAGCTGCTGTGTTTTACTGGGTTGACCAAGACCATGTTTTGTACCCGCTCGAACCTTAACAAGGATAGAAGAAAAAAAAACAGAAATTAGATACAGCCATGAGAGCAAAGGAGAGTATGCAAGGATACTACTTTTGTCGTTATTGTTGTTGTTTGTTTTTTGCTTTACAGCTCATCATCATCATTAGGTCAAGCCTCCTGCGAAAAAAATTTTTTTGTTTGCTTTCGGCTTTGATTCAATGAGTTTTTCCCTCCCCCCTCTCCCCCTGCTCCCAGATATATTACACACAAGTGCTTACTTTCAACTATTATTGATCTTATGTATCATTACGTACGTACGTATTATACTGTATTGTAATGCATATAGTATACTACTATCTATTATACCTGGAAATAATACTCATTTCCTTCTTGCAGACCATTAATAGTAGCATTACATGAGGTTGTGTTCAATATTTTCAGTCTAGACGGCTGATTCACAGGATAGTATACCACTTGATAATACATGATGACGCCATTTTTTTCTTGAACGTTCCAGCTTAAGAAGACGGACGACGAACTGACTGATTTAGCGACAATTATCTCTGGAATCCCGGGAACTATATAAGAAAATAAAATAGTTGAAAATGTAGTCCGTGAATTCATCAAAGTTCATCAAAAGTTTGGACTCGTTTTTTTTATTTATTTATTTATTTTTTAAATCTTAATTATTATTATTATTATTCATTTATTTATTATTTTATTATTATTATTTATTTGTTGTTGCGGATTAGCAACCCTTTACCTTAAAGCAATGACTGACGCCTGTGAAGGCTATGTATTTTTCTAATGATTTTGAAAATATTGCATAGTTGTCATCCAAGATGGCTGTCAAACATCACGTGACTCCTTGTGGTATCATCTATAAAGCTCGATGCTGGCCAGGTGGGTCGAGTGGGAACAACGTTACATCTAGTATATGAACCCTCACCCCTCCTCCCCCCGTTTTTATTCCTAGACCTTCCTGACTCAAAAAAAAGTCCCTCAAAAATCTTTTACTTACTCGTTTCGTTAGTCCGCAGTTTGACCTCAGAAAAAGCAGCTTCCATTTTGTTCTTCTCGGCCACTTGACTGACTCCATTTTTAGCAAACACCCTGAACTTATAATAACTGTAGGGGGATAAGTACTTGACGTTAGCTAGAGTCGAGATGTTGGTGATTTCCTTGAGATAAATCTTGACCTGGGGAGTACATTCCTCTGTGCACTCGTTCCCTTTGTCGTCACATCTTTTGCACTCCACTTGGTAATACAAGTCTGACCTGCCTCCGAGGTCCGACGGCAAAGACCATTTCATTCTCACAAAAGTGGCGTTAAAGAAAATGGTGTCTAAATCCCGCGGTGCTGAAGGCGGTTCTAAAAATAGTTGAGAAAAAAAATATGGATTAAATTTTTAAAAGAATTAATACTTCAAATTCATTCTGATCCGCTTTGAAGGATTATCGTCTTACTGGGTTTTTAGTGAGATAACGCTAAGAGCTAAAGACAATACAGGGCAAATATCCTGTAATACGGCTATTCTTTATCATTATCCCGTTAAAACAGACCCATTCAATGGCCACTGGAAAATATTTCTCAAAATTATTTTACTTATTTTGAATATACATATCATTCTCATGAAAACGGATTTTTTAACGAGATAAATCAATTTTTCCCCTTATACCTATTAAGACATTACTGGTGAAAAAAGAATACTCAAGGAAATGCAAGACACGTGCTCTAAAACAAAATTCCGAATAAAAAACCCCGCCTAAATGGCTTATTCTACATCGTCGTAGACGAGAATAGCTGTGCCGCCATTTTTGGAGAGTTTAATCAAAAATATATAGTGCTCCTAAATAGCACACACATAATCGTCAACCAAGTTGTTTCCTTGACATTTCATGACGAGTACCCTTGAAATCTTGGTCCGACAATGTCATGGAAGCATTTTGATTGACGTCCACCAAAACCCTATTTGTCGCGATGGAACTGTAAAAAAGCGCGGGAAAATTGTGAAGGCGCCTTGACGACGGAGAAACGCTAGCACCATGCAAATATGGTTACATAGTTGGAAACTACTATAAAAGTACTCGAGCATGTACTCACGTGTGCAGTTGTAAAATACAGCCTCCGTTTCCGATCTAAAGAAACCAGGTATACATTGACACCTTGTCCTGTCATTGACATGTTTGCTGTTGCCTGGACACGGTGTACAGCTGGTGTTATTGACCGTGCTCTTGTATGTACCTTTAGGACAAGCTGGGGGGAAGGAAATCACGATTTGAGTATATGAATGTCATCAACTTTTGCGCCATTACAGCAGGTTACCTTTAACATCAAAGTCAGAGCAGGAAATAATAATAAGGTTTTGAGTTGTTGTTAAAGACCCATTGCCACTTACCGTGATGCACCGCGGTCATAGATGAATTCCGTGGTCCATGAAATTCAAAGATTAAAATATTGAATAATAACTTCATATTAAATCCTTTCCGACATAGCACTAAGGCACAATAATTATTCTTTTACATTCTTTTAAGAGTTTATTCAAAAGGTTGGAATTGTTTTTTCAGTGGTGACACGATTCAAAGTGTAAACAAATTGTAATGCATCATGGTAAGTGGCAATGGTCTTTAATTGTTGGTTGTAGAGAAGAGACTTGTAGAAACGCATCTGCCCAACGAACGGGTTCCGCTGAATGTCTCTTGTTCCCACGGGAACCTTTACATAAATGTTATGATTAACCCCCACCACTCCCGGCCCCCAAAAGAGCCGCGGCCATATTTATCGTCAGCTTTTTATTTTCGTCAGTATACATTCCCCCATATCATCATCACCATCTTCATATTATCGTTATCGTTATTACCGTAAAAATCAACTTCTAAATTTCAATTGAAATCCAGTGGAAGAGCCACTCTGTGAAATCCACTGTTAATCCCATTATTTATTATTTATTTATTTATCATTGTCATTATCATTGTCTATACCTTTGCATTCGGAACCCGACATAATAAACACCTTCTCGTAGCCAGCTTCGCAGAGACACTCCCCTCGATTCAAATCTTTGCTCCATTTTCCATCAGCTTCACAATATCCAAACAAATCGTTAGCATTTGTCATTGGTTGAGCATGCTCCGTACACGACCCCTTCACTTGAACCGAACCATTAGCAGGTGAAGTGGTCAGCGGCAGCTGAATAAGACTTGAAGACAAAGCCAACGACGGACATCGATAATAATGCACATGAAAGCCATAGACGACGAAGCAGCCTCCTCTGTAGTGCAACGCCAGATACACATAGTTATTCCCAGGTTTTATCTTGAAAGAAAGCGTTTCAAAATTCTGTGCCTCTTGTACCTTCGAAACCGATATTACCTTAGGATCCAATGTTCCAATTTTTTCATACGAAGACCCGCTCGTTAAATAAGGGTCGGGAATTTTGTCGGGTGTATAAAGATTCGATGTCTGGTGAGCGTATAAATTGAAGTTATGTTTACAGTATTTGGCATTTTTAATTGCAGAGCAGTTTTGAACTGCATAGTCTATTGCGATGTCAATTTTCTTGGCATGTTGAACGTCGATGACGTCACTTCGTAACCACGTGTTTGGTTGTCCGCTTGGCGAAACGTCACATGCGTAATAGTATATCTTGGTCTGGCTTCCGTCCAGTAATGTAGCGTAGTTCCACTGGAGAGAGAGAAGAGAAGGAAAAAAAAAAAAAACAGATACAAATGGAATGAAATCAATAGCGAAATACGACAGTTCAGATTTCTCAGATTTCGATTTCTATTTTTTGTCACTTCACTTCAACATGATGTCACTTCGACATGATACTGAAGTTTTCATTCGGTTTCAATATACGTACCATGGTTTGGGTGCCACTTGGTGTCCAAGTCCATTTCCATGTAGACTTGCTCTTGTCAGGCACGCTCATTATTTGAACTTTAAAAAAAAAATACGGGGAAAGTAATTATATTATTATAATAAAGATATTAATACTAATTGAATAAAAAAAGGACTATACGCGTCTTATTCCATAGTTGCATCATTTTTTTCCTTTTTTCTTTCTTTCTTTTTTTTTTTTCTTTTTTCTTTCCGATCCCTTCTCTTCCTTTTCCCCCCAAATTGCTCCTTTGGGGTCTATTTGTCTTTATTTGGTCTATTTGGTAGTTTAAAAATATTCAAATGTCTCTATTTTTTAATGTCAAGTTCATTTTGTCTTCCTCTCTAGCGCCATATTCTTATAAGCGTCATATCGCTTTTACCCTAAACTCCCTAAATGGATATCCAGTATCCTTAAGATAAGTATTTTAAAAAATGTCGAGTCCTTGTGTTAGGATGAAGTTTCCCTTTACATTTCTTTCCTTTGTTTCTTGATTATTTTCCAACCGTAACCTCGTTCTATGCAGGAGGGCTTCCGAATCACCTCTATATAAACAAGCCCTCGAGCTAACACGTGAAGTTCAATAAGTTTAATTCGGTCTCAATCAAATCGAAATGGCTTCAAAGAAAAGCACTAAAAATACGTAACAAAATGTAAATAACTATCACCTTTGGCTCTCGGAACCACTTATAAACACCAATGACATGTGTACTCAATGAAAATTGATCGGAAAATATACAAAAGCGATTATGAAGGAGAGAGAGAGAAAGGTTTAGTACGGCTAAACGTTTTCATGAGTCAACATATGATATAGTATTGATGTAAAGTGTCAAAATCATTGACAGCTTGCTTAATTTAACTCAAGGCAAAACCACTTTAGCGAAAAAATCATCTTACTTATTAGGCCAATCAATTAGCTTAATTTCCCAAAAATCAATATTTCTAAACATTGTACGAGAAGCACAGAACATGCCGTTTTTAGATATTTCGTAAGATGAAGACAGATGTTTTGAAATCATACATTCTATCCTGTGGTAGGGATGACGTTTGATGAAAAATATTTGAACATAAAACAAGTCATTGAAATCATGAAGGAACTTGAAAAAATTCGCCCTAGATAAGAGCCGAGAAAGGAAAAGGAAGGAAAACCGCATTATTTGGTTTTCAACTTAAGATACTAGTTATATATTGCTTATCAAAACAAATTATCTAAATGTTCACGGTAGGGGGGCTATTTTATCTCGATAACCTTACTAATTGTATGATTGGGGCACTTGGTTCATTTTAGACGGAACAAAGCGACTTTATAAAATACGAATTGAATATCTACGTTCATAACAGCATGTGAAGGTTAGGAAAACATCCAAGGAGGAGGTACACGCGCTCAAAAGCGTACCTGTTGTTCTAGACACTTTGATTTCCAAAACAAGCTATTCTTTTCATCGCTGTTATGACATCGGGTCATTCGGCTAAACGCTCTGGGACCAACACTTTATAAATATTTACAATTTAGCCGGGGGTTTTCATACACAGAATTCACAAATACGGAAATGCTTATCTGTCGTGTGGTAATCGAATGATTGAACTTATTAAAGGTTATGTTAAAAATGCAATGATAAAGGAATATTTGCAGAATTAAACAGAATCAAACAAATGTCAATCACGCATGAAAATGAAACAGAACTTATAACGTAAATTTTGTATTTATTTCTTCGCTAAATTATATGCGTTTATTGTTAGCATTTTACTTGGTTATTGACACAGCATATTTTTTTAACACACTAACACACAAATTCGCGTCCATAAATGGTAATAACCATGAATGTTTAGTATAACTCGCACTAGGAATATAATCTGATAAAGTTGAGAGGGAGTCTTATCTTTGCTGGAAAATAGCTATAATAACCGACTCCACAAGACTTTTTGGTATTCAAAGTATGTGAGATTAGCTACCATTCAAGGAAATAATGATTATAGGAACTTGATTTTTCAGTAACATTTCTCAGCTTTAGCCGATAAGTTTCCTCCTTAGTCGTAGCTTTTTTTTCTTTCAGTTTTTTTTCTTTCAGTTTTTTCTCCTTAAAAGGAGCTTTTTCTTGAACCAAGGAGGTAATACCTCTCTACTTCAACCAAAGAGAAAGCAAAATAATAATAATAATAATCATAGATTAAAATATTTGTACTTTATTATTATATGAAATTTGAGATTTGGGAGAATTATTCATTCAATTATTTTGAAAAGTGGACCAAGTACCAATCTCTGCAGCGCAAATAATACCCTTTCTAATTTAAGAGGAACAATTTTGCGAGGCTTTTGTGATGGTTAATCCTCGCCGTTTTGTAATTATCGTAGGGAGGAACGATTTGCTTAATGATTACATTAAAAAAGAAAAATAAACTTTGTCAGATCTGGTTATACTGGGTTTAAAAAAGGTCCCAAGACCGATCGCTGTGGCATATACTAAGCCCATTTTGCAATGGGCCGAAACTTATATGGCTTTTTTTTTTTCTTTTCTTGTAACGGAAAAGAACTACAAGCTTCTTGCTATCTAAAATTTCCTCCTCCCGATAATTTTGGCTACGTAGACCAAAACAAGCATGGCTACAAGAGATAAATTATTTTTCACTCCACACTGTTACTATCAAAATCAAACAAAAGCTATCAAACAAACTTGGAATTTCGTTTGGTTAGTTTTAGCTAACAGATACGGGTCAGAACACTGTCAAGCCTATTAAACTAAATGTACGAGAATTAAAGTGAAACCCCAAACATTATCATAAATTTGCATGAAGTTAAACGTCGGACATCTGCTGTATGCTAAATGTACTAAAAGCACGTCACTTCAAAACAGGAAAAATATATCTCGTGAGGGTAAAAAACACAAGCTTTTGTGAAGATAAAATGAAGCATATTCACAAAACAATGGGCTTCTATTGTCCGAGTTTGGCCACGGCACAGCATATCGATAAAATCTATGACATTCGAAACAGCAGTGTAAAAATAAGCGATTATATAGAATAGACGAGGTCGTCGAGGTTATCGCGTTTTGAAGGACCCTGAGAATTTTTTCTCGTTCTTATTCTCGCCTACATGTGACTTGTTTCAAATGAATTCCTTTCCCATGAGTAAACTGCCAAGAGTAACGCCACTCACAAGTATATTTACATCAACATGCTGTCCACCATTGTCCAAAAATTCATTGAAAACATAAACTGATATCGGCCATGGGATTGCTCGCGAAAGCATATTTCATTAATTTAGGCTTGGAAAATATCTGATTCACCTTAGTTTTCTTTTACAATCTAACTGATGTTGTCAGAATTATGTACCATATTATCAGATGGAGTTTTGCCACATGGAATATAAGACGCTGCCACAATTATTCAAGAACCTACTAAATCCTGAGCTAATTTGTCTGTCTTCTGTAAAGTCCTCTGACTCATCTGTCAACTCAAACAAAACATTTCCTAAGTACTCTAGATGAGTTTTGGCAAAAAAGCAATGAAATCGGTTCATTTTTCGATAAAAAAGGTATATCTCACCCGAAACACTTGAATTCTTAACATATACGTTCATGGGCATTATATTATTACCGGGTTGACGCCTAAATTGCTTAAATATGAATCACACTTTCCATCCACCAGCTTTCAGATCACCCCAGAGACGCCGAAAGCCTCCAAGAAAAAACATGTCAGATTGTTAAACGATTTTTGACACGAGGTTAATAGTGCAAATAGGGAGTCAATTTATCACCACATCGACAAATATCTACATAAGCTAAGCTACAATTAAAGTGAATTTGTGCGGTTGTGAAAATTCCTAATTCAGGGAATCCAAATTGATGACATCAAAATGGCTTTTTCGCCCGCCTTTTTCCTATAACATCTATTTTTGAATGATGTCACTAAAAATAAAGATAATACTTAAAAGAATAAATGTACTCTGCCTTATTATTAACTTGCATTGTCAAAATGATTTCATTAGCATTTTAGGTTATTTGAAAATTTCACGAGTTTTATCTATCTTTCAAGGAGTTCAGGAAACGAATTGTCAGTAACGATGAACTTCAGAAGATTTTTTTTAAATTTCATCTAAAAATCTGTCAGGCAAACAGAAGTATATTGCTTAAATTGCCTGATAACTATTATACGCCTACGAGCTATAACATAATGCGACCTCGCACATATACAATGATTTTGGCATAACAAGACGAGAAATTTAAAATCAAATCCAACCAAGATAATCAAAAAAATTTGCATTGTCCAATTACGCTTCGAGTATTTCAAGCTTGTTTGGAGCTAAGAATTTAAGAGTCGTTCCTAAGACGAAGACAAAACTAATTATGGTTTAGATTAATAGAAATTTTTTGGCTGGAGTACAAGTTTTTCTTTAGTCACCAACAGACAATTATTACTGGTTCAAATATTGAGATCTGTTTACATACATCAATGTTTACTAACACTGTGCTGAAGTTGCAAGCCAAAATTATTTCCCGTCTGAGAATATATTCCATTGTTTAAAATAATACATGCTTCTTCACGTTTATCAGGTCACACATAATTGCTGATCAGCTTCAAGATTTGGCGAGACTTTCTCTAGATATGGAAGTAAACTCTAGGTGATAATGTGAGCTTTTCATAGTTATTTTTTGTCCCGACTGAGTTGTATTGATTAGTTTAGAGTTGTAGTGGCTCAGCTCGACACGTCCGAGTGAATAGCAGATGGAAGATTTTAGGTTTATATTCAGCCGTACTCGAAAACGAAATATCATCTGAAACCGCAGAAAAACAGACCACTCTAATCCTCAAGAGCTTAAAACTTAATTCCGAAATGACAATGAATAGGTTTTCAGGGATTGAAAGGTGTAAAATTTGGGAGTTCGTGGATATACCATGCATCAATGAATGACAATGGCGAAAATGAAATCCACGAAAGCTCTGAAGACTACTATTCAATACGGCTATCTAGACTGTTAATACAAAGACTCCATTTAATTACAAGGGATCGTTGATATATCCTGCCGACTTTAGGAGTGCGGAAGTAAATTCATTTAGAATAACAAAATCCAAGAGTATGTTTTGAAATTCCAAACTATTTACGCTTAGTTGCACAGGAGAAATGTTTGGTTCGACAGGGCCGCGTGTGAATAATACACGGGATGGCACTATACGTAGACATACATACTTCACAATCCCCCCAAAATGTATAGAGATTAGTAATAACTGATTTTCACTTAAATGCGAGACAATAAATCGCCTTTAAAATTCAAACGTCACATACAAGTACCAAGATTCGGCGTTATATCAGCTAGAACAACGCGTACTTGAAGTTTTGCGGAGTTGTTGATGTTCGCGGACGCTATTTTAGATTGAGAATTTTAACGCCGTTTTTATCACGATCTAGAGCTCTAATATCCACATAACTTGTTTAGATTAAAAGAAATATTCCTTTGCATTGACTAGGGTCAAGACTAGTTTATAGTACTCGACTTTACGGCTACAATCATGTTCAGCATTTAGGTTGTGTGGCCCTTCTGCTAAGCTGTCAACGGGCCGTCCCTCAAAGACTTCCCTTGCTAAGCGTTTCAGTAACCACTAGCCAAAGTAAGGGATTATTTTGCAGCACTCACCTCTGTCGCCTATCACTTTCGCCAACAAGAGCAAAAGCAAAAGAAGATTGAAGAAAACCATCCGATGACAGTTACAGGCCATTTTTCAACCACATCTTTACATAGCTTGGACTTAAATCTAGGATTCCCGGAGTCTGCGCAGTGAGAAACGGAAATGTCCCTTCGAGGGAGCACGCCAGCGACTTCCGGTTTCACTGATACCGTATAATCCCCTCTTTCTCTCGCTTCTTCAGGGTGACTTGAAAAGACAAGGAATCTAGAAAAGTTAGAAAAATAACCTAAGTGTCAACTCAGTCACCAAATAGATTTAACTAGAATGAGCACTTTAAATCCTGCGATTAACTCTTAGGTTGTGTTACAACTGGCTATGGTATTGTGGTTTCCGGGTTCTTTGTTCTAGGCGTTCAAGAAAAGGTTTTGAAGACAACGGAAATTAAGGCCATCTTTTGATTAAGATTGCAGTATTCAGCCAACAAAAGCCTGAAGAATCAAAGAGAATGTCAACAAAGGACAGCTGATAGGTGTCGGTATGTTTCAAGTAACGTTGTAAATCCAACGTTATCGATGGTTTAATCAACCAAATAAAAAGAAAAACTCGTACCAAACACTCCGAGATATCTATGTGACAAATGTCTGGTTTTCTATCGATGGTCCTATAGCCATAATTTCCGATAGAAATCAACCGCTAGCTTGGCATGGCCATGTATGAGTCCGAATGCACATTCCTAAACCAAGATATATTTGTGTTGAAAGAATGTGATCAGTGACTGTTGAATGGAACTTTCTCCGAAACTGAAACCACTACGATCGTGACAAGCCGTAAACCGCTCACCAATGACTACGCGAGTTTTAATCATTAATAATGTAGCCAACTTCAGCATGCGCGAATGTCTTAACAAAATCTATTGGGATTCTTCATCTACTTTGATATTGTTACATCTTCGTTACATCTCATGCCGTCGTACATCGAGAAGAAAAAAGATTCCGCGACAAAAAGAAAAACAAAACTTATATTAAATAGTATTCCTAAGTTTTTTTATCCCTAAATTCCCCCTTAAGGCCTCTAAACTTTCGCGTTTGCCTTTAATTTCTTAGTCGCAAAAACCGTCGATGTTATCGAATAGTACGCCCAGACTGGACTTGCAGTCTGTAGCCAGTACGACTCGGTTCTCCCAAGTCACCCACTGAGTTCTTTTATTCAACCCGTCGCGATTGCTGGCCACGTTTGTTTTTCACCTTGTAAATAAAAAACATTGATCCGAGTACTGACAAGAGATAAGCAGCTGAGAGAACACCAAATATAATTATTACCGTCCTAACCATGTTCTTGTCAGAATTCGAAGCTGTTGATTTGAGCCAAATTTGATACCATTTCGAGTCGGTCCTATTATGGTAAATGATGACAATCTTCTCTAGATAGCGAGCGTTGGTGCTTTTTGTCCCCTTGTGACTACCCGAGTCAAGCAATAATATTAAACACAGCGATTTTTATTATTAACATAAATTGCCAATCTAGTATCCCTACAAGTAATTTTCTCGTTCGGTGTGGAATTATAGTTATAAATATTTAAACAATGATGTACAAAGAAAAGTGATTGGAACAGAAGCGAAAACATGACCAAAAGCTGTCCGCTCGTAAAGTAAATCTAGTAATAATCGCAAGCCTCAAACTCGCCTACTTGAAGCTAAGAACATAGTCTTTTGTTTTTGACGTTTGATGTCTTTCAAATCAGCTCCATTCTTGGCTATGATAATCTATAATGATTCTAAGTACTGTATTATATGTGTACTTGGCTATAAGATTTTGATCCCTTAGCGGTATTCCTTCAACTGTTTCAAAAGCCAATCCCACCGCCTTCCCACTAAACTGTTCAACAATTTTGAGCTCATTTTAATGGTAATAAGAAGCAAAGGCGTTATCTTGAGCGGCTTCGAAAGCCCTGTAATATTTGATTGTTACTGAAGATCTCGGGAAGCAATTTTAAAGAAATGATCTATGTAAAATTAATTAACACTGTATGCCGGAAAAAAATCAGTTTTCTCTTTTCGCTTTCGATTCGTTATCCAAGTTTTTTTTCTTTTTTTCTTTTTTTTCAATTTTTGGAAAATCAAATAGTTATTTCAGAATAACAAAATTACCACAAAGATATTCGCTCCAATAGTTATTTTAGTGTTTATCGATGAGTTTATAACCTTTGTACTCTTAACGAACCGAATCAATAAATTTGACATTTTTCATCTTTGGTTGTCAAGGCAACCGAGAGAGAAGTGCTTTCAAAGGATTAACAGGAATGACGACTTTAGCTCTTGTCTCTGATGGTATGAATCTGTGCTTAACAGTAGGAAACAGTTGTCAATGATTTGATTAGATAATATTAAAAAATACCGTGAGGACGAGTATGAGTTATTCCAAAAAACATTTGATGAACTTAACTAAAGATATGCATTTATGCATTCTTGGTGATCCTATTAACGACCTTCCGATCTTCCAATCTTTACCAAATACGAGAATTATCTCTTAAAGCTCTTTTCAATGTGTATGACTGTGTTTGACTTACCGCTGTCGTCCAAAACCCGGCTTATGTTCTCACTTGAAGGCTATGGAGGAATATAATCGAATCACGAGTGATAAGAAGGATTTGTGAAGAAATATCCCCTGATGATGAGTCCTGGGAAGTTTCTTTGGGAGCACGAGAGGCATTTATTCACGATCGCAGATATGATTATGTGATGTCTTCGCTCAGCTATGCCTGGAATTGAGTGCCTTCCTACAAAGGCTTAAAACTTATCAAAGATGAGTGATAGCTGTACAAAGTGCTTTAGGCATATTTAGGCGCGCGCGAAAGAACAAACTCAACACAGTTCGTGACTTAGCTAAACAATCCGTGTTCCAGACAACGAATTCGCAAACCATGTGACGTTATTGATGTTTAGAAGTCAGCGCTTTGCATGTGCTACGGCTAAAGCTTTAGAAATGTTATCTGAAGTGCAGGCTGTTCGTCTGGGGCGAATCTTATACCTGGAGGCAGTAATACCTGCCCATGAGACAACTTTTAAAACGATCTTCATCTTCTCGTTTCAAAATGTTCTTAATTGTGCGCGTGTCTTAACATATGCTTTTATACAATGTTAAGAGGTCTGGTTCCAAAAGTTTATCATTCTAATATGTATTTAACGTATGTACGATCTTCCAAAAGTGCCGGTTCATTAGTGGGTGCCCTAAGGGTTGTCGGGAATCTTTGCTCAGTCAATCACACATGACACGTGCGACTCCGCCAATCCTGATAAAACTCTGATCCGGCTTCTTTGTATTAATAAAGGCCCAAAAATCTAGTCTACAACTCAATATTTGGGAACACAAGGTTTCGTGACGACCCTTTTGAATTGTAATTTTATCACTGAATACTAGAGCTGAAGAAATTAGCTAAGGATACGTCATCAAGAATATTACATCAAATCTAAATCAGGCACTTTTATCTCTCATGTTTATTTTTAAAAACCCTAATACACATTGTGTTTAAAAGTCTTTTTGCCCGTTTTTTATAAAGTCACTTCCTTTCGTTGTATTTTGTTTTAGCTTAGAATTCATCTTTTATTCGTTGGTTAGTCGCAATGTCTGAGACTTGACAACTTTTCTTTTAGTTGTTACCGAACGTCTCGTCATCTGTTTCACTCAATGAAAAGCTATTTCCCCCGCTACTTAAAGTTGGTTTAGACCAGAAAAAAGCCGTAATTTCATGATGGGCAGTTTATACAATATATCTTCTCTTCGTCCTGACTCTGATATTTATTCTTTTTCAGAAAATCACGACGATTTTGTCCAAACGTTTATGGATTAATTGAATGAGCGTTATGAAAAAGCCATTACAATCAAGAACTCAATTAAATACCTTCTAAACAAACTTCATTATTTTCTACGAGAAATTTTTCATGATTTATTAAAGTATTATATATATATATATTAATGGATAAATTTGTCATCACCTGATGTTTTATGATATACTAGTGTCATTGTTTGCAATTAAGTTCATGTTGGCACCTGATGTAGATGAATAAGTGATATGACTGCCGCATGCCATTTTGTTCTGCCCTTGTCCACACTTAAGTCCACCTGCTTCACTTTGCCCTGTTAGGTTTTCTGTATAGACAATTAGAGTTCTGAAATTCTTATGTTTCAATAGTGGGCACGTGGGTAAAACAAGGAAGTAATCGAAAAAAGAGACGAAATAGTTCTAAAAAAAGTCCCATTATCAGGAACGCAAACTAATCGTTTTTACGTTGTATGTCCCCAGTTTCTTTCTAAGATTAAAATTCAACTTCACTGCTTGATGTATCTAAGGTATTACTGCCAAACAGAGATTCTATTTTACGACAATAAGTACCCGTTATTTCAATATTTACAGAATGCGGTTTGATTTTTATAAAGAGCCTTAATAATAGCATTCAAATTAGACAGCATGTTCTCCGATATCATCACGAATTGAAAACTTAGTTGTCAGTTGATTGCATTCCTTTCATCTGAGTCAGCAAATGTTTATAACAGAAAAAAAGAAGTCATTTTGCGCCTAAGCGCCGACATGTCCGCATCAGAAAATTTGATAAAGGGAATTTTTCTTACATATTCAATGATTTAGTGGCAGGTTCAAAGACACACCATAGTTGTGTGAGACAAAACTGAATTTTTCACTATCTAAAGAATGATTATAAAATCTGGAGTCGGCAATATCGTGCAACGGAGCCTTTGATCATTCACATAGTATTTCATAATCATATAGATTCAAGATATTTAAAGTTGATATAAGACTAATCTTGCTTATCGTTCAAAGGAGTATTAATGTACATACATACCATTCTCTTTGGACCATGATTAGGCCAATATGCACAATATCGCACGTGCAGAAATAATAGGCTTGAGATATAATATTGATAAATACTCGATCGCGTATAACTCTGTTAAGAAAAAAAAGCGTCGATCTTGAAAAACTCTATCTCGAAATGTCCGCCGGTCTAACGATTTCAGTGCAAAGACAGTATACGTTCGTGTGAGTGTGCTTCTGAAGCCGCCATCTTGGATGACAAAAATGTTTTTCTCTTTCTCCTCTTTTCTGCTCCCTTCTTCTTCTTCTTTCTTTTTTTTATATATTTATTTATTTATTTATTTATTTTTCTTCTCTCTCTTCTACATCTAACTCTCTTTGCGCTTTCCATCCATTAATGGGAACGAGTGCGCATGCTTGAATGCGATCTTTTTTTTTTGTCCATATGATCGATAATAGGCAAATTTCAAAAGATATTGAACTTATCTATAGTGTGACTAGCTTGTGGTTCTAGAGCAGGTTTATCTGATTTTTACTGATTTTTTTCCTACAGTAACAAGAAATGTAGTTTGTAAGGTGGGTTCAGCCGGTAGCTTCAATTAAAGTTGGGCAACTGAGAGAGAGAAACAGTGAGAGAGAGAGAGAGAGAGAGAGAGAGAGAGAGAGAGAGAGAGAGAGAGA